CTCTGCTCTAAAGCCAAGTAAATACTCCTCTTACGAGGTTTTTCATAATTCTCATTATTTTTTTAGTTTTTCTTTTCATAAAATAGCGTATGTGTGAAGAAGAAGTTGTACTTCAAAACAATTGTGTAATTTTTGATTTTTATTTTTTTAAATAAAAATGTTTGTTAAGGTAGTTCACTCGCGACAGTCGTACACAAAAATATCGCCCTATAGTGAATACCAACCGTTCGAGATTGTTAAATCTAAAGAAAGGTTATTTTTGTAACAGACTGTACACACAGCACATGTGATCCTATATACAAATATGGTATTATAACGCGTAAAATCCATCCGGCAACGTCGCAAATATATTGTGAAACGTCAACTGTATTCCTAAAGTAAAATAAATGTACATATCAAAATGTTTCATTGTCAGGATCAATTAATTGCGAGATAAAGGAAAATTTGTTAAGCAGGACGTCCTCCACAAACGCAAAAAATCAATTTTGGTTATGAATAATGCAAAAAAATTGAGAAAGGAAACCCCAAGCTTGAAAAATAACCTGTGCAGTGGTCGCATCGTGGAATTACTAGAGTTGGGAAAACATTTAAAATGTTGCTGGTGTGAAAGAGTTCTTTCTCTTGAAAATATTACAAATGAAACACGAAAGGGCCTTTATTCAATTTTAAATGTTAAATGTAATGAATGTAATATTGAAACTATAGTACCTACGGACAAATTTCATGCAACAAAAAGTGAAGTTAAGCATTCAGATGTCAACATTAAAGCAGTTCTAGGTAAATTAAAAAAAATACATAAGTATTTGTTATGTTTATAATTTTTTTATTATAATTAATATAATTTTATTTATTTAAAGGTGCTGTCCATTCAGGGTTTGGTAAAACTGCTTTAAAAAAATTTCTTGCTTTCATGAACGTTCCTACGATATCATCAATACTACAGAAAATCATTACTTTTATTTGTATATTTATAATAATTTTAAATTACTTTATATTAATTTTTTTGTGTAACTGTATTTTATTTTGAAGGCATGTTTAAATAAAATTATATTCATCTTTTGCATATTTATTTAATTTTGAAGACATGTTTAAATACAATTAAATTTAAATTGTTAAATCATATCAACCTAAAGTATAAACAACGTCCCTTCCCAGAAGGCCTCGATAAAGTGATAAACTTGACCTGTCCGCGGCAATAAAAAGGTTGGGAAGCACTGGGAAGCACTGATCTAACAGACATTTGAATTAGCAGGCGTTGAGTGTATCGATTACAACGTTGCCAAGTTGTGATCACAATACGCCACTATGCGTCTACTACTTTAGGAACATTTTTATTTTAAAATTCTATATTTCTTTATCAAAACGGTAAAAAAATTCAGCGTTTTTTTAGAAAATTTTATAACTTCTTGATTTACATTACATTAGTTTTTAAAAAATATGGTAAGAACCGTTTTCGAGATATCTTGAAATAAATGCAATGATTATGTACATGACAGGGCTTCAAGAGTGTTAATTATGCACATTTTGATTGTTAGTATCTCGTTTTACAGACGGTCGAAAATTTTTATTTTTTTTAGGTACATAGAAGACACTTTCATTAACCTTATATTTCAATTTTATTGAATTCTTAAGAAAGGCCGTTTTACGAGTGAACTACCTTAAAATCTTGCATGTTTGGTTTTTCTCATTTACCTAATTATTTTTCTACTTCACTCTTCCTACAATATACACATACATGGGATTATGGGATTAAGAGAAAAATAACAATAGATATTCTAAATGATAAAGTTTGACTACTATTGCTGCGTTTGAATATCCACATCGTATGCACCTAAGAAGTTGTGAAACAAACGCTCTAGACTTTATTGGTCACGTGATAAAATGACAATGACAAGTTAGAAGTTTATTCTTTTTAAATTTGACTTTTGAGACTAGAAATCAACCTAAATTTGAAATCTAAACAAAAATTAAACATACTATAATCACTTTTATAATCACGCTAGCATAAACAAAGGATAAATCGATAAACTTGGCTCCACAGAACACCTACTTTCTGGCATGGAACGAACATCTTATGCACATCTCATTTCAAATCGAGATGTAAAAAATGTAATCTGGACAGCGACATCTCGGATAAACAAACGTAGATGTAGATGTACTAAATGTGTCCGATGTGGATAAACAAACACTCAAAAACGCATCGGATGTAGATATTTAACCGCAGCATATATAGCTCATTCTTGAATTCTGTAAGAAATCTTTGGAAATCATAAGGAATTAGTAAAGATTATCGCAAAAAATGTAAGATGTGAGCCACAAAACGTTTTTCGAAAGTTAGCCATGGAATAAATCACTCATGTGGGAATATACAACGTTAAAAGACAATTCGAACAATTATTATTCTTCTTTAAAAGATAATTTTACAAAGAAAAATGTGTATTGGCTCGCACATTATATTTCGACCACACCATCGGATACCACTAAGGGTATGGTCCGTTATTAACCGAAATATCGGTTACTCGGTTCAAAACTAACCGCTCTACTTGACATTCCTGAAAAATCGGTTAAATTAGGGACGTTGTTACCTGAAAATGGTGGTACTCAAACGTCAATTCACTAACTGCTATATTTTTACGGTTACTATTAGGTCGAATGTCAATCTGTCACAAAAGTGACGTAAATCTCGGCCGCCAAATGTAACCAAGAAATTATTTTTTTTAGGAACCTTTGGTTGCTACGTATGTATACAATAGACAAAAGTAATTAAATAATACAATTCACACAAAAACGGAGGCGATAAATTTCATTTATATAAATTTATTATCCAGAACAGTTTGTTGGTGAAGCAAGTGGTACAAATTTATATTGAAGATATTCTTGTACTGAGTATGGACATATTTCTAAAAGCGGTTGTTTTATTAGATAATTAAATATTTTTAATTTTGGTGCATTTTTATGCTGTGGCAGTTTATTGAATAATTTTGTTCCAAGTATTGTTTGTGATTTAGCACAAATATTTAGATGTGCAAACAGAGGAACAAGTTCATCTTTGTTCCTGGTGCTATATGAATAAAAGTCGCTGTTGCGTTTAAAATTTGATTTGTTTTTATCAGAGATAACGAGGAGATGTAACTACTAACAAATATCGTGCGGTCCTGAATAAGACATATTCTAAGGGACACAGGCGGGAATAATATCCGCTGTTGTCATATGCCTATTTCATTATTCTCGTTTTGTTTACAAAATTATTTACATATATTAAAAAAGCTAAAATAATTCAACCTATTTTATTGCAACTGAACCCAAAAAATTTTGAATCATTAGTTATATTAAGCCAAAACATAGTGATGTTAGGTTGGAAGTGGCAACAGGGCTTACACCGGCATGCATATTTACGTTGTTTATTATAAGCGCACAGCGTCTTACACATTTATTCATTGATAAAAATAAGTTGTATATGCGTAAAATTCTTCTCTTTATCCCTTCTCTTACTTCTCACCTTTCGTCGCCTCGCCCCGTCCCTACAACTAGAGTATCGATTGTCGAATTAATCTTGGCATCGTGAATATTATATTTTATCAATGAATGGTTATATCTCTGTTATCTCTGGTTTTTATATATGTACATTAAAAGTTTTAAAATATATACTTCGGATAGGGTAAGGATTTTAAGTTTTTTAAATAGTGGGCGACAAGAATCTGTTGGTAGAATACCAGCCAAACATCTTATAATTCTCCTTTTACTTCATTAGCATGGGATGATCCGTCCCAGACACAAATACCATAAACTAACCTCAAATATACATTTGCAAAGTAAATTTGACGAAGATGGTGAGGTTTTAAGATGCATTTAAGGTTACGAAGTTGAAAACATTTTGAATCTAAGGTTGTTGCTAAATTTTGACACTGAGTTTTAAACGACAAATTGTCATCAAATGTTATTCCTAGAAATTTTGTGGAGTCAACTGCATTTATACGTGTGTTGCTTACAGATATAGCTAACCAAGGTATTTTAGAATTTTGGTATGTATGGAAATAAATGTAATTAGTTTTTGTAATATTAAATAATAAGAGATTAGTAGCCCATTCCGAAAATATTTTAATTGACATATCTATTTTATTTTTTAATTGTTCTTCAACGGAATATGTCGAATCATCTGCATAGAGAATTGTGAATGCATGGTAAAGTAATTCTGGAAGTTCATTTACATAAATTGTGAACAGTATGGGCGCTAACACTGACCCTTGGGGCACTCCTATATTATTTGTTACTTCTTGAGAAAATGACTGAGTTGTTAATGTTAACCATTTGTGGTCTATTTGTAAGGTATTTTTCATTTATTTTGAGTGCCTCTAATTCCAGATGAGTGAAGTTTGTTTAATAGTACATCATGCTGAACACAATCAAAGGCTCTGCTAAGATCACAGAAGATCCCAGCCGAACCCTCACCGCGCTCGAAAGATTGAGGCACTTTTTCGTAAAAGGAGATAACGGCTGTATTTGTAGAGTATTTAGGACGGAATCCGTGTTGAGATTTAGATATAATCTTATTTAAGTTCAGGTATTTCATTAGTTGCTCCAGCATTATGTATTCGAATATTTTTGAAAAAGTAGAAATCGTTCAGATAGGTCGATAATTAGACATGTCGTGTGGGTTACCTCTTTTTAATATAGGCGTCACTATAGATGTTTTTAATCTTTCGGGAAATATACCTTCTTCCAGGGAATATTTAATTATATGAGTCAATGGTGTTAAAATATAGTTTGCGATTTTCTTTATTAAGTTTCCTGAGATATCATCAAAACCGCTGGATTGTTTGTTTTTGATTTTTTGTTTTATGACTGTGTTTACATCTGCTTCTGATACATAAGTGGTAAAAAACCTCTTTATAGGTGACTCATTATTAATAATTTTTAGGTTTGTTTTTAAAGTTGAGATTCTGTTCCGTTAGTAGTCAGTATCGGACCATACCTTAAATGTGAACAAAAAAAAATCTTACCTGAATCGATCTGAATGTCTTCGTTTGAGTTTGACGGCGCTCCTATAATCAGACACCATGTCGTTGCACAAATTGTAGGGTTGATCACAGTCGGGTTTCCCGGGACACCAGTCTCTGTGTTTCCGGGACTGCAGTGTACCTCGTGGGTCTCTTATTAGTAAAATCACTTTAACATTCAAACTAAAAGTAAAAAACATCATTTTGTATTACTGTTATTTATTCATTAGGAATATTTTATAATTGAAGCTGGGCGCAATTTTGGCAATATTTTTCAAGATCTTTATTATTTCGCTTTGTATCCAAAGGTTAATTAAAATACGATGAGAGTAGTTTTTCTATTTTCAATGTGAGAGATGGGGCATTATTGGGCTCTATACCGATTGTTCAAATTAAAGTGTTACAGTTAAATACCGCCGAAAATATGCATTTTATAAAAAAAAGTTTAAGACAAAAATATTAATTTTTTTGGGGAAAACATTTTGGCGAAATGCATTTTTTTATAGGTGGACGTAACAAGGTGGACTTTTTTATTTCAAATAGGAACCCCACTTTTTTAGAGATTCTTAAAGTTCATAAAAAAATAAGAAACTTTTAAAGGAAACATTTTTTTTATTGGACTTTTACTTATTGATTAACACCAACTTGAAAATTGTGTTGCGCGAAAAAAAAGTTGGCCATATTATGGTTAGCTATAAAAAAAGATTATAGCCAAAATGTTTATCCCAAAAAAATATAAAACTTTCATCTGAAACGTTATTTTATAAAAAAAAAGTATTTAACTGAACCCTTTAATTTGAACACCCGGTATAATAATGTTTAGGCTAAGGCGAAATGAATCGTATAAAATCTCATTAAATTCCAAAACATAGTACACCGAAATAGTTATTTCCAAAATAAATTTATGTTTATTTTCAGATAAATTTCTTTCTAAAACTTAATAGATTTGTCGACTTGATTTTTTTTAATTAAATACAAACATGGCAGTTCATATTAATGCAATATTTGTATTGTTCAATATTGCGTAATTACTAATTTATTTTAAATAATTATATGACAAATTTATTGAAATTTTCAGTGAGCGACAAAAATAATTTTGGTTTTTTTTTTATATACACCCTTCAACAATTCTGGTATCCCACTTGACTAAATTAATGTCATCAATTAGCTAAAAGTAACATTAACAGTAGTAGGAAACCCTAAAACAATGTAACTGACCTACAACTGATACTTAAGTTGACATAAAAGTGACTAAAAACGAACATTTTCATTAAATTTCTTGTTTCTTCTTGTGGCATATAGGCCAGTCATTAGAAATAATCAATTCACAATAATTACAAAAGTTTTCAAACTTTGTTGGAATATTTATTAAATTGAAATAATTGTAAATTTAATTTTGCCACTTTATCTGAGGTCCAGACAATATTAATAATTGCAAAAATTGAAATTTATTATAAACTTGAAGCAAACTATATTGTATAATTTTCAACATTATATCAGATTTGCAACTTTTTGCAACTTTTTTGAAAGTCCCGAACATGTTTTTTTTTGTAAAAAAGATAATGTTCCTATTGGGAATTATGTCATCAAACATTGTTTTATATATCTACATACTACAATGCTTGTACAAACATCATGGTACCTACTATAAGAACAAATTACAAATACACAAAAAAGAAAACTAATATAAATCATGGTATTGTTTTGGTTGCAAAATCATGCCTTTCTTTTTATCTTAGGTGGTGTCTAGATGGCTGTGATGTACGCTGAGAGAGGTACCCAGTCTGTAATCGAGTCTTATTCATCATCCGAGCATTGTAGCTCCACATTCGGGACGTTAATCTATAATTTGCCACCGCATGACTAGCAGAGGACTGAGCAATAAAGCCCAGCCTTTCTGCACCAGCAGCTCCCACAGCACCCTTTCTTGCTTTTACATGAAATTTTTTGCAAACGAGCAGGAGGTGCGAGATCCATGGTGGTGGGAATGGTGGTGAGTCCCTGAGAAGACAGCTTCCACCCCCAAACAATGGGATTTAAGTTGAATCCCCGCCATTTCTACACTTGAAGGTAGCACCTTGTTGCATGGTGGCCTGTGCTTCCGTCGCTGGCAAACGGGCGAGGTTACGGGTGGATTTATAAACTACGTTCAATTGGCGCTCAGTTCGAGTTGGCAAAACATAACCCCAAATTCCATAAAATAAATTATATTTTGTTATTTTTGTTTTAATTATATTTGTAGACGGTGTTGGTTATAAAATAATTATAAATCCGTTATAATTTCTTATCCAAAACATACTTACCGTGTCATTCTGCTTTGTTTATGTTGAACTCGAACTGAGCGTGAACTGAACGCGAACTGAACGTAGTTTATAAATCCAGCTTAATGCTCGTTAAAGTGGCAAACGTCATATACCTCAGGAAATCCAAAGTATCCCTCGCGATGTCACTCCCATATAGACACTTGTTGCCTGCTTCTCTCACGGCTTGTGGGGTGGAAGACCTCTACTTGCTCAGTAAGTGGTTCACTCTTGCTCAGGAGTGTAGTGATTATGATCTTTCCTTGGCCAAACAGTGCTGAGTTGGTATGGCACCAGGTAAACGCGTGGGTGAATAGTACCGTCCCTGGTGATCGCTGGGAGTCCTGGTGGTTGTAGGAGGTCGTAGAGTACTGACAGTAACCAGCTTCGCCCTTCGTGTTCTTCTGAAGATAGACGGTTGTCTCTTCTGCGCCTAAACCATTGAGAAAAACGAGCAAGTCGACGGCTTCTTCCACTATGATGACCCGAAACCATAATACCTACATTATTTATATTAGTTTTCTTTTTTGGGTAAATGTAATTTGTCCTTATACTAGATACCATGTTTGTACAAGCCCTGTAGTATGTAGGTATAAAAAACAATATTTGATGATGACGTAATTCCCAATAGCTACATTAACTTGTTCTTTTTTCATGAAACATTTTTTTAATAACAAAAATAAATAAATTGTAACTGTTTGATAAATAAAACCATAAAAAGACGTGAGAACAGTTTATTTGCATTTCCCTCCAAAACCCACTAATGACTTATGTTTTATAGCCCAAGAGCCCACTGCAAATTTTTACCGTCATCTGATAACGAAATAAAATATACCTCAAAAGCATGTAAAAACATTGTACCAAATGACACCTGGCCCAATCCCAATCCTGAGCAAAGTGGCTACAAATAATTATTTTATATTAAAAAAATCACATAAGGCATGACAGCGCTAATTTTGTTTTCCAGAAAATAACATATTCAAATATATCGTTAAAGGGAAACATTTTCTTCCTTTTAACATCGCACACAAACATCTATCCACGATTAGTAGGTAAAAATTTGGTAAAAATCATTAAAAACATGAATCAATTTTTGCTGATTTAAAAATTTATTTGTATGTCTATTGTTCTGATTCAGTTTTACAGGTTGTCATAGAAACGACAAAAAAAAAACAAAAAAACTACTATGATTATGGTTTAAAAGAATTGTCTAACAAGAGTTCATAATTATTATTATTAACTATCTCTGTAAATGGTTTATACAATGCCATCCTTCTTCCTTTCACACATACACATGGTTTAAAAGGCAACTTTTTTGAAAGTCCTGAACATGATTTTTTTTTGTAAAATAACGTTATTGTTTATATCATAGACAAAAAAATTGCAAAAGTGATGCAAACCGATGACATGTTTTATACAAGTTTTTCCAATTTGCAACCTTTTATTTTGCACGGAAATATGTATTTTTTTTAAATAGCAAAATAATTTTATTTTTCTCTAATTTTGTCAAAAAAGTTTTAAATATTGGTTGCAAATGTTAATATTATTTTTCTTAATAATCTGGTAAATTTGCAACCTCGGACAAGGTCCGGAGATTTAAAAAATTAACAAAAATCAAGAATTAGCACCATGGCGATTTAATTTTACCTTTAAAAATCTTTATATATAAAAATCAACAGAAACATGTACAATATAAAGATGCATACGGGGTATTAAAAGTGCGGATATATATAAAAGTTATAACTGAAGGTGGAGCCTAAATACAAAACTAATTCCGAGAATAAAATAATATTTATCATTATTTTAACGATTGCATGCATGACCTTGAAAATGGGATTTCTAACAACAAAAACGCAAAATTTATACATACATTTTTAAATAGGTCCTGCACGGTCAAAGAAATGTCCCTAAGTTTTAAAGAAAAGTTTGTTTTTTCCCACTCATGCAAAATTTCATGTGGACAATTAGTTACACCAGGCCAATGTAGATGGAACAAACATTTTTGTCTCAACGACTAATGCCGCGTTTGAGAATCCACATCGGATGCATTTTTTACATCTCGAGCGTTTTTTTATCCACATCTGACACATCTGTCCCATTACATTTACGTATACTGAATCACGTGATCAAAGATTTACTACATCTCAGATGCATCCGATGTGGATTCTCAAATGCAGCAATAGGTATTTTAAATACTTTTATAAATGACGCATCATACAATCCGAGTTTATTAAAATATTTCTTAACGTAACTTTAGTAAGAAATGCCTATCAAGTATTTAAACATATTTAAAGCAGATATCGTGAAAAATGGTTCAGATTTACAAGATGCTAAAATAACATCTGCATTTTAACAGGTATTTTCGAGGTTAAACTAAGAAAATACCTTGTATAGTTATTATATAGTTGCAGTTATTATGTTAACGTACAGAAATTTTAGTAAGGAACTTTTTCTTATAGGTTATCAGAAATATATAGGTTGAAAAAATAAGTATTTAGTCAAATATCAGGGCTGTCACTTTAGACCAGCTGTATCAAACCTTTTTTCTTTCGGGCCACATAAATATGTTTGTTATGCTACCAGTGCTACAATATTTTTGGGTGATAATTAGAGTTGCCACCTTTTTGAAATGCAAATAAAGGACAATGGGTGAGGATCCCTATCCGCTTTAAATATTTTCTAAAGAAAAGTGTTTGGGGCTGCACAAAAAAGCTTGGAGGGCCGCAAAAAAAGCTTGGAGGGAAGCACAAAACAGCTTGGAGAACCGCAGGTTGAGTAAGGCTGCTCTAGACAGAACTATGTATATATTTTTATTCAAACTTGGATCAAAACATAAATATGTAACCCTAATTAGTTACACTATCACAAAATTAATATATTAAA